TATATATATATATATATATACAGGGTCTCCTATTTTAATCGATCACCTCAAATATCTCTTGAACAGTGCATTTTAGGGAAAAATGTTTCAGACAAAAGTTTTGGGACTTCGAGGGGGACATAAAATGATAACATTGGTTTGACCCTGAATTGCGTCGTCAAGGTCAGGACAAGGTTACTTTGAATTTTTTAAATGGAACCCCCAATTTTTCATTACATGTCCTTGTAGCACACCTCGAGAGCTTTCCAAAACACATAGATAAAATATTTTTGTATGAAAGAAATCTTGAGTTATGAAGCTTGAAAGTTGGAGTATCGTCGGCATTAGCATCATCCAAGGTGTCCGAACACTAGTTAAAACCTTTTGAATGTTGTTCAGGATCATGATATTGATAAAACATGTGAAGGTCATGACCATTGGAAATTGTTTCTCTATTTTCAAAAAATAAATATAATTTTCAAAAATAAAAATAAAAGCAATAATCTTTAATGGCCTTGATCTTGACATGTGTTGTCTAGGTCATGATCCTGAACAACATTCAAAATGTTCGGACACCTTGGATAATGCTAATGCCGATGGTATTGCAACTTTCAAGCTTCATAATTCAAGATTTATTTAATCAAAAAATATTTCATCTATGTGTTTTGGAAAGCTCCCGAGAATATGTAACAAGTGCTACAAGAATATAAAATGAAAAATAAGGGGTCCCATTTAAAAAATTCAAAGTGACCTTGTCCTGACCTTGACGACACCATTCAGGATCAAATCAATATTATCATCTTATGTCCCCCTCGAAGTCTCAAAACTTTGGTCTGAAACATTTTTCCCTAAAATGCACTGTTCAAGAGATATTTGAGTTGATCAATTAAAATGGGACACCCTGTATGTATATATATATAAATAAATAATGAGTTAAAGTTGCAAAAAATTTTAATATATTTTAGTATGTCATATAATTATATGTGACATCTTAAAGAAGTTTTATTGTAATCAGAAATTAGTAAGTATGTTATTAAAACTTTCCGCCCTCTCTCTCTCTCTCTCTCTCTCTCTCTCTCTCTCTCTCTCTCTCCCACAAAAGTAACGGTCATTCTTTCTAATGGAGCTATTTCTATCTCTCGATGCACAAAACATGAGCAGAGATCGCACATCCACGTTGTCCGATTGTGTGAAAGAACAAAAGTCTCTATTAGGCTACCTGGTTCAAAGGGGGATCGATTTCCGGGGGTGCGACGCGCGTCCCGAAATATCACGCTTGGTCGAAAGGGTTAACAATTCCAGAACTAGATTTCAATACTTTATATTTCATGTCCAGTTTTTTTTTCTATATATATATTCTTCATATAGAATCTGTAGATATACATTCTTGGCAAATTCGAAAAAACTGATTCCAAAATAGGAACAGATCATTGTGCGAACTATGTATACAGGGTGCAATTTGTGAGAAACACACGTGTCGTGTCGTGTTCTGCTCGATACTATACATATCTCTTTTCTGTATTTTTTTTTGTTCTTATTATCCTTTCGTCTTTCCGTGTTGCCTGAATTCGTCTTTGCTTTTCGTTCCTCCCTCTTTCGTTCGCCTACCGTTTTCCCTTCCGTTTTCCCGGCAAATTTCATTTTCATCTGAACGGTGGTACATTTGATAGGGTGCACAGGGCTGCTAGGCACAGATAATTGACTCGCAAATAACTCTTCAAACAACATTAGAGCGTACGACATACAAGTATTAATATACACATTACATCGTTATTTTTTTTTTGTTTTCGTATTTAGGAGCAACCACATTGTTGGAGCGTGTCCTGTGTCTGTGTGTGAGTGTACGTGTCTCTCGTTGATCTACGTACAAACTTGTGCCGAGATGTTTCCCAATGCGGCGTGCTCTGTCACGTTTCGGAATTTCTCCCCTCTTGGCTTATTTTTTTTTCTTTCGGTGGTCGATATATGCCGAAATTAAAATTTAAATCAATTCGAGAGCTGAAGTATTTTTTGAATAATTTATTAAATATTTTCATGTTAAATAAGTGTCATGTATGGATGTGATCCAAATCACATCTTTCACCGTGAAATTCCTGAATGCCTTTATACACAGCAACCGGTGAAAGAAGGGATTGATGGTGAAAATCCAGCTCGATGCTCTCACAATACTTTTATGCAGCGAGAACATCCTTCTGGAAAAAACGAAAGAAATTCAAATACGTGATGAAAGCCGCCCATCAGGCGCCATTATTGCACGTTATTGTACCTCTCCGTCGAGCGCGGTTGTGTACGTGTCTTTTGGTGTGAATAGATCGTTTCTCCCGCGACGTGGCTTACGGGTACCTAACGGCGCGCTGCGGCACGACAGGCCATTATGGACAGTCAATGCTTGATTGACACGGCCCGGACTCGAAATTATGGCTAGCATACGGAATATCCGTGTGACGACGATGTTGGGGACGTTTCCTTGAATGAGCAACCAAATCGAATTTGGATGGCTAACCGGCGCGTCGCGAATTTCCGCCTAGCTCGGCTTACCTTGCGATCGTCTTTCCGCGTATCGGACTTAATTAAATTAATTAAACGCAAGCTTTCCGGAACAGGAGTTCGCAAACTTGTTTAATCTAAGTCCATCGCATCCGCACTAATTTCTGCGGCTTCGCCGGATGCAATAACGTTGCGACCCGCGCTGTGCCAATCGACGGAGTAAATGAACAAGCGAGTTAATCGCGAAATTTAAAATTCAACTGGTAATTACAGTAGCATACCTTGGTTTTTTTTTATGGGAGCTATTTGATCATATAGACAGTTTTGTTAAACTTCGACGCGTTGTAAAACTGATAACACACACACTGATTTAAAATTAAATTTCGGAAATTAAAATTCGTGCAATCGTAAGATCACTTGATCGTCCAAGTAAAATATATCAGAATTTTAAAAAATTTGCATTAAAAGAATATGACGACAAATGAAATTCATTGCGTTGAAATATCATTTACAAATAGAGCGTTATGATGCGAAGGGAAACATATTCTTTTAAATAAAATATCGATCGAGCGCGATCGAAGTTAACGGACGTAAATTCGATCACGGCATTGACGATCCAGCAGTGGGCTATCCTGACGCAGCGGCTGTCGTCTCGTGTTCCCCGTCGCGCCGTGGTGTGAACTGGTGGTGTTGTGTGCGAATATGGGTGGATGTGTATATGCTGGTGATGCACATGATCGATGCGTTATAATAATGTGTATACGTGTACACAGTCAACAAATCTTATTACATCTAATTTGTCTTTTTTTCACGCAGCGATGGGAAGACAGAGCTTAGAGACCCTTCCGGCTCCGATGTACAATAACGAGGTGGGGAAAGTTGGGCAGGAGCAGGTAAAGAGGATACAGGATAAAGGACGCGAGGAAGAGGGTGGAGCAGAGTGGAGTAAGGGGACAGAGTGATCGATAATCGGCATGCCTCTAATTTTCATTTGGGACATCGAAAGACAGGTAAGAGGACGAGGAGGGGACACACCGAGAGGGACGGGGGGACACTTAGAAACATTGATATGGCGCATGGTAGTGCTTGGGGTGTCTAGAACCTGATATGTAGGAGCAGGTATATGTCACCGGTAATACTTGGATTCGATGGGGATCACTAGAAAGGCTACACTGCGCTTTGACTTGTTTTGTACGAAAACAACTTATTTTATACACACTGTCGTGTGATCGAAGATCCGGTACGAAACAAAATTTTAAAATTTGGCCGATTGGTACTAATTGAAAAATTTAAAAATTAAAAATTTATATCACTAATTTAATCATGCAGATTAATTAAATTAATGTTTAAATTAAATGAAATTTTTTATTGTTTTTTTTTTCTTTTCGGAGATCTGTCGAACTTGTCTTGCCAATTTTACAAATCATAATCCAATCATTTAAATTGTTAAATGAGAACGGCATCCTTCTTTAATCGGCAAGTTCACAAAATTTGAATGTTCACAAAAATTCGTAAGTAAAATAAATAAATCCGATTGAAAGACAAGATTTGTTGAAGAAGCAAACGGAAACTCTTTCTTCGTGTACAAAAGAAATCAAAGCGCACCGATATTGATACCCTTTCGCAATACCATTAATTAATAACAATATTAACGATATGTACCTACGCTGCATTAATCACCTAAGTATCTAACTAACGAGCATTAACCTAACGCCTTAAACGCAACGTCCATTTAACATACTTATTCAGCCCTCGGCACTCGCAACGCGGCCGCGGGCTATAAATAATCATAACACTAATAATAAGAATAATGATAATTACATTATCGATAATTAATCAATTGAATTTCTCATGCGATTGCAAATATATACATATAGATGGGATATGTATTAGTAAGATCTAGAACCAGTTATTATCCATTAGCTTGTTCTCAAAGTTACAATTAATTATCGACACAGATGGCTCATCTTTACAACCTCGAGTTAGTGTGTGTGTACGCATGTTACGCGCATAACGCACGTGTGTGTCCTGTGTGAAGTTACATGTAAGTCGTGCTTATACATACACAGTGCTATGTATACCTCTCTACCTGGAATACTGTACCGTTTACAGGATCACTACGGGCTACCAAATTACAATTTGATTTTGTACACGTTTAGAACCTGTTCACCAGAAGATGTCCGCGAGGTCTGTCCCGGACTATCGGTAATTTTATACGCAATGTTATTTATTTACTGTTCGCGATTAACGCATCGATTACGCGTTTTCCTCGTCCACCGATGTGTTCGATTTTAATTAAATTCACTATGTAAGCGTGACACTTAGCGCGAGAGAGAGAGTACGCGAACTTACTTTGTATAGGGGGGGTCCTCTTCGTACCAAAAAAAAAAAAAGAGTAAGCTATGTACATCCATTCGTCCACTGGAAAGAGACGCGCGATTAATCTTACATCGTAAACGTGTGTGTCTTTTTTCTATGTCTATCTACATGCCATCCCTCCCCTCTTTCCCCGCCTTTCTAACTGCAGTGGCAGGCTCCCGAGGATTACATTTAGAATGTTACCCGCTCGAGCGTAAATTTCTTGTGGCCCACTTCCGCTTCGATCAATCAGATGTGCCCCTGGCGATAGAGGGATATTTTTTTTTTCTTTCCTTTTAACGTAAGTCTCGTAAACAAGATTCATTGCCAGTCCTGTTAAGGAGCGTTCGTCTCTATTGTCATTTGCCCAGCGTGTGTCGATTCGGCAGGATTCAATTTCTCGACGATGGTTACGCGAAAATGTAAGCCCGTCCGGTGACACGTTACGACCGAATATCTTCACGTTGCCGTTCGTGGACACATCTGTCGTCTCGTTTCCCCGATCGTATAACTCGTTCGATACGGCGCGCAATTACGGTACGGTATACGGCACGATACGACACAATCCCCCGGGGAATTCTGCGACGTCAATTCTGCAACACCGACGTGGTCGAGGGTTGATATGCAAGCCGTGAGCTTCTCGCTTCCCCCTTTTGACGCGAGGCTCGTCATCTTCTGATGCACAGTACTCGAAATGATATATGTATATAATATGTTCGGTTTTTTTTTTACTTTTACGTTATGCACCTCCTTAGATTTAACCCCTTTCCACCCTGTACCGCGCGACCGCGGGCACCAAGCGATTACTCTTGGAAAATTTTCCGCGAACTACAAAACTATCTACGTCTCTTCGCTCTCATCTTATTCTTCTTCTCCGGACTAATCTACGGTCCTCGTCTAGCGGGGACCATCGGTCTCGTCTGGAAGAGTCGCCAAGTCTAGAACTCGGACTGCGGTTTCTGGTTTCTCTTTTTTTTTCTTTTATTTTGCTCTAATTACGCTTGGCACGCGTGGAGAAGGGTTAAATATAAAGGTCGATCGTCGGTGGTGAGGAAAGGGCGGAAGAGGGGGGGAGACACATCTGGAACTCCATCCCCATTTGCGCGTCTTCGCGCCGGATCGAAAATGCGGTGACCGGGACGAGTGTGTGTGTGTATGTGTGTGTTAAGCGAGCGTTCGTTGTAAATACGTTCTACGTACGTTCCTTGCTTTACCGGAGTCTTAGCGCGCGGGTAAAGTGTCAGAAAATAAGCGACAGTCTGGTTGCGCGTGCTCGATCCCTCGACTCTGGCGTGCCGTCCTTTTACGACGCCGCCGTTAAGCTCGGAGCGGGATTCTCATCGCGCGAGAGTGTCGCTCCGTCGAGATGCCACAGAAAATGAAACACCGCTGTTATACAATCCCTCGAAAATGAAGATGCGTCTCTCTCTCTCTCTCTCTATTTCCTCAAAAAAAGAATAAGATAGAAATACATCAACTTACTTTTTAAAAAAAAAGAGATGCGAATGATTTCATACATTTTCTCTCCTCCCTTTTTTTCATCAATTTATTATACTTCCTAAAGAAATAAAGATACGTAGATAAAAGCGAGTAAAAGTAATGATAAATTTCAATATTGAATAGTCATGGATAAAAATAATTGCTTAATTTTTCTAAATAATGTAAAAATTTAAAACAAATTCGTTTAGGAGAGATTGAGAAAGATTTTTCCAAAATATTCGAGATTGAAATCAAATGGATTTTTTGACCTCGAGAAATTATATGACAGGGTGATATTTCATCTCGAATATTCAGTCATCGAATGGGTATCGAGTACGCAGCGATATACACTCTTGATTTAAACGCTGCACTGCGCATCACATAAATATATATTTATATATATGTATATGTATTTTATATATATATTTATCTACAAAACTGTATGATATGATTACACGTCCTAAGCTGCTTAGAGTCTAATTTGCCTTACGTTTTAGGTCCTGTTTCACTAAATCAAAACTTCGAAGGGTTCCTCGGGTAAAATGTGATGTGTACTCTCTACGGGCGACCTAAATTTTACACATATAATTACAGAATAATAATATTAATAATAATAATAAAAATATAAGAATGTGATGTAAAACAATTTTTCGCTTCTCCCTCGGGGAGAAGAGTGGGTTCCCCCGAGATAAAATAATCTATATATCGTTGGAACACGAACGCAACCGTGAGTCCAAGTGCGATAACGAAACGACGGACGCGACGCGCGGTGAATCGGCGCGCGTCGCTTCAGCTTAGTACCTCTTGTTTATTCATTGTTTCTTTTTTTTTTCCTTCTGCTTTCGCATTCACGCGTTTCTCCCCGCGTCGATACGTCGTCCCCTTAATACGATCGACAACGGTTTCAGCGTCCTCTTCGCCGTCGGCGATCGTCGCGGGGATCGTCCCCCACCCGCGCGCGTTCGCTCGGCCGAAGCCCCTTATTTTTCTTCAAAACGGTACACACAACTTATCCCCTAATCGTATTATAACAAATATTGCCTCGAATATAAACTTTGTATTCTTATTTAAATTATATCTCATTTGCGTTAGGTCTCTCTTTCTCTCTCTATCTCTCCCACTCTTTCACTCTCTCTCTTTCTCTCTCTCTCTCTCTCTCTCTCTCTCTCTCACGAAGAATGGACAAAACGGCGGGTTGATATTCTTCGCATCTGTCAAGGGCGCGCGCGTTTTCGGCCCTTATTATCTTATGTTACGTATGGCCGAGAAGTCAAAGAGTCTATTTATTTATTTTAGTTTAGTAGTAGAGTCGTTTGGTTCGCTTCGCAAAATTTGTTCGGAGATCTAAAACCATTCTTATAAAAACGCCCCTCGGCCCGACAAAATATTACCGAGGGACACTAATATATTGTGTGTGTGTCGTCGACGTTCATTGTTCTTTTATTATCGTGTGTACGTGTGTTTTTTTATTCTTCTTTTTTTTTGCTTCGATATATAAAATTCTCAATTCGCAGTCCGCGATCTGATCAAAAGTGGTGCCACGCGGCGCTCGTTGGAGCGTGCGAACATACGAAACGTGTCGTCTCGTCGCAACCTGAACACTACAGCTTCAAGTGGGGAGGGTAGGGAAGATGGACTTCGGGGATTCTTTCGTTTATTCGAGAAGCGGAGGTGTGAGAAGTGAGGAGATAGTGGAAACGATTTAATCCTCTTAATTGGTAGCAGTAGACGACTTTATTGTTTAACGTTTATAGGACCCGCGAGAAGCCCCGCGCGACGAAGGAGAACCGAGGAGTAGTCGAAGGATTTTTCGCGTTGTCGTCCAACGTAAAAAAAATCAGGAACGTGACGAACGTAAGTCACATTCGAGCGTGGAGTTAACTCTTATCCGGGTAACCGGAATCGACATAATTTCATCCTCGCGCGAGTAAACTTCTTCATTTCCATGAAGAAAATCATTGTCTTTTTTTTTTTCAATTAAAAGTATCATTTAAAAAATGACGACAATTTATTTTTCCTTACTTTAAGTTATAAAGATTTAGAGCTATAACGCAACAAAGTTGAAATTCAAAAGAGTATACGTATGTATACTAAATACATAATATTTTATGTAACAATTATTGACAAATTATATAATTGTTTTTAAATCTTTTTCTTTCTGATTTTTCTTTCTGATACAAAGCAAAACGCGATCGTACCATAATTAAAGTAAGATTTGCAATTAGATTCGATAATCCAAATAACCACTTGATGCAACAATATGGCAAGCCACAAAGCGCAAATAAATGTAAGCAAAAAGCAAGTGCGTAGCTTACATTTATTTGTAAATTCTCAATTCATGGCTCCAATTAAAAATCTTCGCGTTTTTTCAGCAATAATAGAACAAGGGATAATATTTAAGAAACCGTAGAGAAGAACTGCATGCAAAAGTCGCTTTATGTGGATTACTACGTAGTTGCGGCAAATCCTTCAGTGAATGAAACATCGCTACACTAATCTGTCAAAGATAGGAAATCATTATCTGCATTACAAAATCAGGTTATCCGGATGAGTGTTAAAAATATTAACGTTAAAAAACGGATGTACAGTAAATGACGGAGGAGAACTTTGCCGTGCGGATACTTGCCGCGGGCCATGCTTATCGCGACGATGAAGCGGCGCGCGGTTATCAATTACACTCAAAGCGGATTGGCTGCGTTCTCTCGCAGGTCGCTCAGTTTTCGGAGCACGATTGATTCAGATCATTCCTCAGAACACTCCCCTAAAATTTCTATTCCCGTGTTTAATAAGTGGTCGCTGAGAAATCTCCGGTTCGTTTATTGGATCCCACAGAGTATGGTCGTCAAGGAGCGCGTGGCTCGGTTATTTTTATTTTTTTCAGAATTAAATGTCGGTGGCGTCGCGCGACGCGACGCCGTAAGTTTGGATGAGTCGATCGTGAGACGCGAGCGAACGAACGAACGAGAAAGCGTCTCGTCGCGGTCGTCGCGAGAACGCCGAGACGCCATATATACGTCCGGGGCTTCGCGGAAGCAGCGCCCACCTGTCTGCTTCGCGAGCAACCACGAGGGATTCCGGCACTTTTCGCACTCGGCACGGCTTCCAGGTTTCCGTCGAATCGCGCTCTTCCGGGAGGATTTTCTCGATCTTCTCAGCTGCCCCCCTCTTCTGAGAGGTTCGATTATCCTCAGGCGAGGAGATCCTCTTCCAAAGTAGTTTTGAACCGTCCTCGAGCCATTCCGCTACCACCAAAGAGATCTTACAGAGCGGCACCTTCATTCCTGGTACGGCCATCAAGAAACGGATCCCGCCTTCTTTCCAGTCATTCAGACGAAGGCTCTATCAACCTCTCAACCATTTCTTTCTTGATAGATCGTATTTTTAACTCTCTTCCGAGAGGTGTCTTCAAACTTTCCCGAACGATTTCTCTTTCGAAGGAGCTAAACTTCCTGCCTCCTTTCCGAGACAGCTTTACTATCGTCGAGCCATTCCATCTCCTTCGATCCATCTCTCTTAGCTAATGGAGTGTTACCTTCTCTCATCCAACAAGTTTCTATCCTCTTCAGACCGTTTTCTTCTGAACCGTGTCTCTCATTGAGGCGATTCAGAAGACTTCACAGCCTTGCTCGGGACGATCCTAATTTTTGCAAAGAAATTCCACGGCACCGACGCCGATTGCTCGAGTGAGATGTTTCCGCGAAAATCGCGCGCATGGTTCCTCGTGAAACGTACCGATTTACTTCCAAGCCCTTTGATATGTATGCGCGTCGGAGGCCGCTGGTCTCCGAGCTATTTACAGGAGTCTCCAAAATTGGAACAGCGGCGCGTAACGTGTGTCGTCTGTCTCGGCCTTCCCTGCCAGTCGGCCGCGAAGGATTCCCTGCGACTTCAACAGCACCGACGCTACACCGCCGCGACGTTCTCTCCGCGACGTGTCGTTGCACTTTATATACCCCACCTCTCGTCGGACGCCGAGTCCCCGTGTCCGACTCGCGTTGACAACGTGTCTCTAGTGGGACACGGGCTACTATTAGGCGTCGAGTTACACATCGAAAACTTTCTTAAGCCTTCGACCGCGACGGGATGAAGACTCTGCGTAGAGCGACGTGTCCAAGAATACACGCGCGACCCTTTTCGAACCCGTGGCGGGCAGCCGCGGAACGACCGCGGTCGTCTCACCGTCTGTCGCGTTCGATCGAAAATAAACGCCGTCGCGACGTTTCCTTTTCGCTGCGGCGATATGTTCCGATCCTATTCCTCTCGTTCTCGGAGAGATCTCCATCCTCGGCACGAACCCGCGTGCGTGCGTGCGTGCGTGCGTTCGTCTCACCCAGTTGTGACGTGTGGGGCCCGCCGTTTTTTTAGTAGGGCCAGAAGGTTGGCAACGGAGGCGGGGGCGGTGGTGGTACGGTCGGATAGAGGGTCGGGGTGGCTATCAGGAGACAGGTGGGTGGCGGTAGGGGCGGCGGTACCGGTGGCGGCGGCGGTAGAACCGGGGACAGCGTTATCGCTGCGGCTGCGGGGTGCAGGGCCGTGCCCGCCGTCGCGGGGGCACACAACGGGTGCAGGGCGGCGAGTGAGGGGCGCTGGCGCTGACGCTGACGCTGCTGGCCCTGGACCTCGCCGTTCTATTCCGAGTCCTGCTGCATTTTGACGTGGCCATTACCAGCGGAATTGCTCGACGCGCTGCCGCTGCTGGGCGGGAAGCTCGTGGGTATGGTGCGCGACGACGAGAAACAGAGCTTCATGATGTAAGGGAACTTGCCGTCTGCAACAGACAAGCGCGGCGAGGGGACCGCCTTGTAATTTCTCGTTGCCAAACTCGCAAGCGAAGGGACTGTCGAGTCGAACAAGATCTCGCCCGTGTCAAATGACGTTTCCTTACGTTTCAAGTTCCTGGAGTTTGACAGCTGTCTAGCTAGGATCATCGAGCAAAATTAGGGCTTTAGACGAGTTGTCTATGTATCGCGACCCTAATCATTAATTACTACGATGCTATTAATCCCAAACTCTCATCCCGTGTATAAGAGATTCAATAGAGAGTTGAAAATTGAAAACGTTGTGAATAAGAGTATATAAAGTAAATCTATTTCAGAAACAATAAACATACATCCCCATAAAAAAATTTCTTTTTAAATTGGACTTATCCAACTTGTTTCGATAATTTTTATGATTGACACACAAGTCCGTTCCCTCGGCTTTACTTTTCGACATAAAAATGATCGCGCCAAAAGCCGTGAAAGAGAAACATAAACTGAAACTAAGTAGATTCTTCTATACGAAAAGTATCGTAAACCTGAACGAGAGAAGTTGAAATCCGAATCCACAAATCGAACGAATAAGTGACAAAGTCGAGTCGACCAACCACGGAATATCATAAACGCGTAAAATCCCCACGACCGCTATCTCACGCTCACGGAAATGTCGCGCGAGAGAAATCCGAGCGCTTTACGATCGTATGCGCTATATCGTATGTCGATACTTACTGCTGTTCTCGAGCGCCGTGTGATTGCACTCCATGATAGCGGCCACCGCGATACCGACGCTGCTGAACTCGATCAGACCGGAGGACGATCGTTCCGATTTGAGGGGGAACAGCTTGATCGTCGTCGGTGCCTCGATACCGCGCTCCACGAACACGCGATTCACTGTCTCCTCAGTTAGATCCGGCGGGGTGTTGAAGAAGTGGACTATCTTCGATGGTGGTTGTATCCTGTTCTTATTGGCCATCGCGGGGTTCAGGAATCTGCAACGATACGTCGAAGTTCGGGTATTATAGAATTCGACTGGAAAAAACGGCTTCCGCGCCGATTGGATGGGCAAATGCACTACCGCTAAGTCTGGAGTGCCTCTTTTTGCAATAAAAGCTTAATCAACTTCATTTATTAACATTGTAAATGTATGAAAGCTTCAATCATAAATTATAAATTTTATTTGCAATGGTACATGTTCAAATTGGTCATCAATGTGGTCAAAAGTAAAAATTGACATTTTCGAATAGAATAACTATTGTATTCTGAAAAGAATTGTGGTTTTATTTAAAAATTATAAAGTGCTCCCAGTTTTCGAGCGGTAACGCATATCATTATCAACGAGTTTTGAACTAAATGAAATATATATCTTAAATATGTATGTGACTGTGCTGATATACAATAAAATTAAAATTTAATTAAATATATATGTATCGGTAATGCATGTATAGGTAGGTGAATACATCTCGAAACTTGAAAATGCTACAGGTGGAGTCTGTAAGCTACAGTTTTATCATCTCGAAACACAAAAAAGTGATATCAAAATTAAACAATAACGTAGCATTGCTCTTTCTTCTCTCTCCGCGCGGACAGCTTTGATGAAGCCCCGCGGGGAAGTATGCCTGCTCCCCGACGTGGAATTGCTCCCTTTCACGTTTCGCGCAATACCCGCCGTCTTATTCCCAACAAAAATGTCAGCTTACAGTCCTAGTCCTTCAATTACGCGAACGAAAGCGGATTTCCGCGCGGTGGAGGAAAACGTCCTTCGAAGGAGGACGTTTCTGCCGCGCTGTTTGTCTTTGGGGGAAACTTCTTGTGATTGACTTCTCGCAATCAGAGCTCACGCGGCCCAAAGCGGGGGTGGACCCTGCTTCCCTGCGGGCGATTAAGTTTTTCGTCGGGGCAAAATGCTCGTTTCGCCGGGAAAGCGCTTTTTACCCTCTCCTCCCCCTTCGTCCTTTACCCCTTAAAAAAACACGTATCGCGTAGCAGCGGTGTGTTTTCTCGCTCTGCTAAATTATTCGTCTTAATGAATTACTCCGTCGCGGGATGTGCTTGAGCGAAATTTAAATAAGCTCTTTCAGAATCACGTTAAATAAATGAGGCGCCGCGACTTAACGATAAGTCGAGAAGGGGAGAATTTCAGAAGGGACGAGAAAGAGAGTCCACCGGAGAATTTTGAAAAATTTTAATTTAAATAAATCGCTTTGCACTAACGCGCTCATTCACTGTTATGCCCCATTGTTGAGCAATAATTGTTCCTGGACAATGGGTAGCGAATAAAAAGGGAGAGCATTCTTTCGTGAAACCAGCTGTTAATTTAATCTTAGTTTTGCTGTATCACTTTTAGTTCACTCTCTATGCTTTTCTTATTCGTATTAAAAAAAAAAAACACCCGAAATTTCTCTTTCCTGACCATGCGATTTTTACGAATGAAACTTCATCGTAGACGCTTCCGCGCACTTCCCGTAATCCGCTGCCGGCACAATCGGAAGAGTCGGGGACTTAATAGGCGAGCGCCGGATATCATCAGGCACGCCTTTTCGTGCGACCATGCAGCGGCAGCGAGGGGCGGCCAACGGCGAGCGGCTGCACGCCGCCGCCGGTCCAGACGCGAAATCGCAGGCGCGGGTGTCGTTAGCTCCTATTCAACCTTTAGATTTGATTCTTCCGCCTGGCCGCGTCCGCATGCTGGAGCGTGACCGGAGAGGGGGGACATCCGAAAGGCGGAGAGAGAGAGAGAGAGAGAGAGAGAGAGAGAGATTTAAATCGCGCTCGTTTACGTGTCCTCATTTAATTAGTCTACCGGAGTTTAATCTCGCGGAGTGCCGTCGCAATTTGCTGGATCGAACCGGTACGGGTCCCCGCGTTCTGCGTTATTACCGCTCTACGCCCGCCCTGTGATCTCCGTGGCGCGAGGGATGACGATGAGAATAGGTCGATTAGAGGTACAACCGTACTTTCTAAGATTGACGACATTGGTGCGAATTACAAGCCTATCGATACGTCCGGCAGGAATCTGATCTTGCAAGGAAGCGAAAAAGGTATTTCGATACATTTCATTATTACAGTCTGTAACGAAACAAGAGGAAGAAAAAGATCTTTAGAGCTTAACATTTGTTGATTGAATAGAAGTCATTAGAAATTTAGTGTATCATAGGAATACGACAAATCGTGGCGTCGTAATGTATAAAAACTTTTGATTTAAACATACTCAATTTTATTTATAATTACTTTTATTCTCAAATGCTAAAGTGGCGAAAGTTTTATCAATTCAGTTTAATCAACCGGCCGGCGTTCGTAACAACATTATCTCTCTCGATCCATCGTAGGATCTATAATAGCGAGGTGTTAAACACAAAGGATCGTGTTTCATGCGGCGCGAATTTGTCACGCGCGAGTGCGCAGATAAAACGCGCGATTAAATGGCGAGGAAAGGAAACAGTCGCCAGGAAAAGCGCGAAGGTGCACCTCCGCGACTGAAATTTATATATTATACTCTCCTCGCGCCTCGTATATACAAGGGGCGAGAAAATATCGCCATGCGGAGAATGGGAGAAAGATCAAGCGGAGACAAATGGACCTCAACGGGCGGGGATGCCGGGAGGAGCCGAGCGAAAGACGACAGCGGGAGAGAACAGAAAACGCGCGCGCGCGCGAGAGAGAGAGAGAGAGAGAGAGAGAGAGAGAGAGAGAGAAAGAGTTGACACGCTCGGGACTCACCTGTTATTCTTGCTTCCCGTGAAGTCCTTGAAGCTCGCTGTCTTGTCGGGTAGAATGTAAGGGTTGGTTACGTCCGAAAGGAAGGCTTGCTTCGAGAAGCCGAGCTGCAACCTGCCGTCCGTCCCAATCGTGACGTTGTTCAGGTTCTGCAAACACCGCTCCACGGCTATGCTGTCTCCCATCTGTATCATCGCGCAGCCTTCCTTCGTTTTCAAGAATTTTACCTGCGACGAAGAGACAGAGGGCTTTTAGATTTGTCGCCACGGATAACGGAAGGCGATCGCGAAACGTGCAAACTGACAGACGCGATCGATCATTTCTAATCGTCGATGGTGATTTACATCGACGATTAGAGAATAATCGATTGAACGAAATGCACCGAAAGTTTTATCTAATCTCAAGAAGAATTCGACGTCTGCAATTTTTATAATTTTTCTTGTAGCTCCGATAATTATTCACCCTGGCGCGAGGATATCTCTCTTCAACATTTAAATCCCTTTGCAGTGTTTAATCAAAGACCGCGTGTTTAATGAAGGGACCATTTATGACTAGCGCGGAGCTTGGCTCTTGTTAAATATCAACACATGCGCTCCCTCGCTAATCAATGTTAAATGTATATGAATGTACACGGAAACTGGAATCTGTTGGTCCTCGTTAAACGCAGGTAACGTGTCGTGTAAGGGACGTCAATGGCCCTACCGTGTTAACGCCAAGTACCGTGGCGATAATTAAGTCATGCGACCCTTTTGTTCGGCCCCACCAGCTCGTACCATTTAACACTCTAAACACGCGCTATGGGCGCCGCACAAAGATGGGGAGGACGGGTAACACGCGGGGAGACATGAGAAGGGGAGAGGGGGAGGCGAAGACCCGCCACCTACCTTCGTCACGTTGCCGTACAAGCAGAACAGGTTGAAGAGCTTGTCAGTATTGACTTTGTCCGGTTGCAGTCCATACACCATCATGACCGAGCCCTGCGTGCTGGAGGGCGGCGTTTGGCCCAGGGTAGGCACGTAACCCGGCCGAGGTGGCGTGGGATGTAACGGCTCGCGGCCGCTGAAGTCGCTCTTGATGCCGTAACGCTCGACGTACGGCTCCGCATACGTCGCCGGCCCGTTGAAGTTCTCCTCGTAACGATCGTGACCGGCGCCCGGTGGGAAGGTGACCTGCGGCGTGGAGCCTGGAACACCGCAATACCGAACTACAGATGCGGAGACGTGCGAGATAAATGACGCGCGGGCGAAATACCACCGGGGTCGGGGTGGTTATTCATCGTCGGCCGTGACGGACAACGCGCATTCGGCGAAATCGGCACGTCGCGACGATGTTTCACTGGGTTTCACATCAGAAACATGCACGACCTTGCTACGAGAACGCGGTACGGTTGCATAATTCGTGATAATCCCGGCTGATCGATATACATATCAGTTTGATGATATATAAGATGTAAGGAACAGAGTAAACTCATATTTTTTCACAGCCAGAGTATTTGAAAAATGGCGTTTTGAAAATTATGAGAATACTGATTTATATAACTTACTTACTAATTATCAAATAACTTTTACGCGTGTGTGAAGTAAATACTCCGACATTAAAATTCCATCATGGTTTTGATTAAAGTTCCCGCTTCATTTTGAAGAGACGAAGAGTTCTCTAGTTTATAACAAGTATATAGTTTATAACAAGAGTTCTACTTATAATAACAATTTTTAATTCATGAATTTTTATAAGAAGTTAGTCCATTTTTTAAATTTAAATTAAAAATTGTTTAGAACCCTTATTATATACTCTAGACTTAGAGAACTCTTCGTTCCTTCAAAATAAAGTAAAAACTTTAATCTAAGAACTATGAAATTTTAATATTGGGGTGCTAACTTCACACACGCAATTTTTACTACAAAGGCAACCAAGTCGTAGTTTTTTAAGTAGGAGAAGTTTTTGGTAAGAAAATCTGCTCTCAAAACTATTTATAAGTTTGCAACTCTAAAATTTGAAAATCTATGTTTCATAGAAAAGAAATGAATAAAATACAATAATATAAAATAGATACGGCGAGGAGAAAATCGAAACAGAATACTTCAACCCTCAACTGGAGTAATTCGAGCCGGTGCGCGCGGCAACTCTATTGGAATGGTAATGCAACGCTTTATCGGTCGCGTGTAGCCGAGTATTAAATGTTGCGACAAATGGTGTCGATTCAGAATGTCGGAGAGCTATTGGGAAAAGTGTGTTGCCACGCGGTCGGTGAGTTACGATAATGTTTTCCACTATCGGATTACAACTATCGCGCAACGAGAGCGGCACGGTGAGCGGTCTCGATTGCAGGCGCGCTACGTTACGTCCGGTTCATCGATTTCCCGTCAAAATCGCAAACCGGAATCGCGGTCACCGGCGGCGTTGACTTACGGCGATAGTATTAGACCGTGCTGTATCGAAGAGGAATTATTTTCCCGAGGTCAATATTAGGTGCTCAACAGTTTAGACGCCGTGCACGGAAGATTACAGTCCGGCCGACGCCGCCGTCGCCACGCCGGCTGCAACAGTATTCGAATGCAGGTCGATGCAGCAACAGCGTCACGTGTCGCTTACGTGACAATTTCGCTTTTGCATTATTAAATCTAGTGTTTGAGACAAGAGTTTTTTTTGTGATATTAAGAGATGAGAGATGTCCTAAAGGTTTATGCGGCTGCTAGCAGTAAGAGACGAGAAACTATTTCTGTAAAATACACAGATTTTTTAGTCTCTGATTTTTTAGATTTAAAATTTGACACGAGTAAATTCTTGAATTTCAACCTTTAAATTGAAACAATTAAACCATTCAATTTTTTATCATCGGCGCCGTATTTTTTGACTTTTTCGAAAGTTTTTTCGCGTAAAAACCTGTTACCCATTTTCCAATAAACATTTCCTACAGCGGGACTTACCTTTCCGGAAGAAATTTGTGCATTTTACAAGAACGGCATAGTTCTTTCAATTTTCCGATCAGTCAATTTCATCGTCGTAATTAAAGCCACTGAATTTGCATTGCATACGCCATCGTTGTGAATGCTATTTGGATTGTCAACGAGATCGCAATATTCCTCTAAGAAAATGTAATAGGTGTGTTTGCACACCCTTGGCCTCTTACTAACATTTAAATGTCCGCTGGAAAGAACAAGCTGTGCGTGCGTTCAGCTGTTCTACACAAAAAGAAAACGCCGTAGCGAAATTTCTTCAATTTCAGAAGTAAAAATTTCTTCACCTCACGCGTGAAGAAGTTTCGTGAATAATTCTCACGATAACTCCAATGCGTATTATCCGCACGAGAGGCTCGCCGAGATAAATTTTCTCCTCCCCTGCAAACAAATGCGCTCGACATGTTTTTTCCCTTCCCGGGGACGTCGTCGTCGTCGGGTCCGCGCTCCTAGTCTCGGAGCCCGTCGTTAATCCGCTCCCATTCTTTACACGTGTTCGCGAAAAACCCGCGATCGCCCGGGCCATCTATTTTCCGAACCGGTGAGCTTAATTTGACCATTAGGTACCGGCGAGCGGACGCGGGGGACTGTTGGACGGGACAGACGGACAAATAGACAGGCAGGTACTCACCGTACGGCTGGGGCGCGGCGCCGTATCTTGGCTCAGCCAAAAGGGGAGCCGGCCTTCCATTTCCTGTCGCGTCGTTTTTGTGTGTGCTCGAGCCTGCAACAGAACGACAGTTCGTCGATGAGACTATAATCATCTTCGACGGATATACGTCGCGCAGTCCCACGCGGCCGCCGGGGAGACAAACGATGCGAGCGCAAATGTCGCCATTTATCCCGGCGCGCCTGGCAGTTTCGACAAATTTCCGGTGGGAATCGCCGAGCATAGGAAATACAAGGAAAATACAAGAGGAATGCAGAATTTCGTATTAATATACATTTACATATATTTGTGATTAAATCGGACGTATGCTTTGCTCTACACCGTTCCGAAGTATAGAAAAGACATCTGGCATTTTTTGAAAGTTCAAATCGAAAAGTCGACAAAATCGAGTTAGCAGGCGATGATTATCAGTAATCGATTTTAACATTGAAGAAATAAAATCTAATTAATCACAAACGCTTCGTTTAAATCGACTATCTATACGAATGTTATTTCATTACATCACAGACTCTGCAGTAATGTTTCCTAACGAACGAAAGTTACGTCTGCGACGTGTCTCGATCAAGTTTCTAACGAGAGGTCTCGATTCCGGGATGCGTCACGGCTCCCTGAATTGTTGAGGAAAGACGGGTGAGGGGATACGAGATACATTCCGCGTAATCCGTGTTTGATTTCGCGCCGTGCGTCTATATTAAACTGCGTTACATCTTATACATATAGGTGTGTATATATATATACATATATATATATATATGTATAGTGACACGCGGGTGTCTCGCAGAGATGAGTGAGAGTTTCGGCAACGTTTCGGTACGCCCACTCGCGTAATAGGGCACACACCAAACGGCGCTCGTGCACCGTGTGGGAGCCGATATCGAGCTTGTTGCTGCAGCAAGAGCGGCAGTCTATATCTCGGCTACCCTTCGCTGTCCTCCTTCCCCCCCCCCTCTCCTCTCCCCGGAATATTCGATATCGCCACGTCTGCTCTCGACGCGGTTGCAGCCGCCCAATGGGAGAGGGCGAGACGCATGTGTCATTTCATTTGAAATAGAAAGAGACGACACATGCGTCTCGCCCTCTCCCGTTCGATCCCTCTCTATCGCCCTGGGTCGCATCAGTCGCTTGATTGGCCCTCGGCGAAGAGGAAGCAATCGCCTTAACCCTGCTTGATCCCCCCTGGATCGCGTTCGATGCCACTCCATTGTGGACGTGCAGAATCCCGGTAGATTAATTGCTAATTAAGATCAGTATGCTAATGTCGCCGTGTAACTACGTAGGACATAGCGTTGGATTTAATTGCGAGATTGAATTGCGAGATTCGAAGGGCAAAGATGTACGTTTCTCTCCCTAAAGATAAATTCCGGCGGCACACACACACGCACACATATGTCCTTTTAATAACGGCCTGACATTTGAATTACGTTTCAGCATGAAAAATAAAAATTATTTTCACGAAATACAAATAAAAACATAAATGTATTTTAAAATTACGAGAAGACATTGCAATTTATTAGTATTTTTCTTTTCTAATAACTTTATTTATACAATAAGCGGAGAATTATATAAGTAATTAAAAAAAAAGTTGTTCATCTGCCCGACTGTTATTTATATAAAAATACATAATCGAATTACGGTGGTATGACGTATTATAATGGCATAAAACGGTTCAACAAGTTTTCAAGTTTGAGGCGGATAATAAAATAATGAACCACTTCACGTAATCATCAGTAACGTTTCAGTAACGTCATAATGTCGTAAGTCGTTTGTTAATTTTTCCGACGTCGCGGGAAACTTTTCTCCCCGTTACACTTCCGATAATTACGCGACGCGCGAATTATTCAAACGCCGAGGACAGCGGCAGCTGGCAGCGCGTGTTTTTCAATAACGACGGACCGTGCTCCACTTGAGAAACGGCGCACCTGGGCTCGCGTCGCGCCACGAGAGCCCCGGAGAGATCCTCGCGAGTCCATGAAAATCCTCGATATTGGCACTCGCAGAAGCGATTGCGATTTCGGATACTCTTTCGGCGGGGGAGGCGGGGGGGGGAGGGGTTACGCGGGGACATCGCGCGAAGTTTCTCGCCGTGTCTGTCTTGGAGGATCCGAGGATATTCGAGACAGCGACACGACTAACGAATTTAGTTCGTCCATGGACGGCGAACGCGAAAATGCCTTTTCGACAACTCGGAATTGAAGCGGATAAGACGACTCGAGTCATTTATGATTCTGTTGGACTAATCCGGATGAAGAACGTTTCTTCTTTCGCGAAGAAAAAGAATTTCTACATTTTCACCGAAGAAATCTCATGTAAAATTCTCTCTCTCTCTCTCTCTCTCTATCTCTCTCTATGTCTCGAATGTCAGGCTCGAGCGTTGGACGTTTCGCGCGTAAATTAATAATACCACCGTAAAGATACCATACCCGCCGTCGGGTTAAATCAGTACGGTCTCTACGTCGGCGTCGCTCGGGGTCGGGAATTTCAATCTCCAAAACAATTTCGTCACGAGTACCAAATCGCCGTTCTCCATTATCTCGATGGTCAAGGCAGGAGAAATGCTTCTAAATTATCAACTGTTAACGTTAAGTAATTCAATTGTGCAATCGCGCCTTCTCTTCCAATCAAAGCTGTTATATTGGGGAGAAAAAAAAAAGAGTAAAGAGGCTCGGGAAATCGCTTGAATTCTATCGACTGAAAATATGTTGAAAAATGTATTAAATGACGAAAATAATACGCCGGACCCCCGGTTCCTCATGAATACGATTCGTACTATTACCGTTCCCTTTTGTATGCGGAACCTCCCTCGTAAATCTCAAGATCAAATGAACGTCAAGCGATCTATCATAGCCGTTGAATTAATAACGCTGCTGCGGATGTTCGCCGTCGGATTAAACCCAGCGCCAGGTCCGGCGGCCGCGCGGGATTTCAATCTCCAAAACAATTTCACCGCGAAGCGTCACGGCCGCATCGTAAAGGTAAATGCCATTACCGGTGTAACGGGCGTCCTCTCGTCTGCTCGTGGGAGGATATCCTCGTGCGATCATTACAGGCGGATATTAGAACTCGTAGGTCATCGTAGGGGCTGTTAGCCGGGGGAGGGGGGGAAACGAAATTGCAATTTTATGTCCGACGAGACGCGTGATAGGGAAATTACGCCCTCTCTCCCTCTCGATCGCATCGCGAGAGCCCTTCGCGAGAGAGGCTATCGAAGATTCTCTTCTTTCCTACCCCTTTTTCGGCGATCGCGCGCTTCGGGGGAAGAATCCCCACTTCCGCGTCTCTCTACGAGGCGGAACACGGCGGGAACACCGATGACGGTGGACGAGGACTCGCGCGCACGGTATCGACCTTCGGCGTTGCCACGCAGACTACCACCGCCCACCCCATAAAATGTACAGGGTGAACGACAAGATTCTCGCGAGATTGCGATCCATTTTTATGCAATTAAAACTAAGAGCGAAAAAATATAAAATAGTTATACAACACGAATATATGGTAATTTAATCAGATTTAAATATGCCGAATTCCTTAATAAACCAATCCGCGCTAAATTTTTTCGTTATCTATAGGCGTCAATAACTCTTGATTTATAAGAAACCGATTTAGATTGAGCACGAATGGACCCTTTCGAGTTATTTTTTGCGATGGAAATGAAGAAATAAATTTTATTCGTCCAATTTCAAATTTCTCCAAGTAATTAAAAAAATGTGATGTATTTAATATAAACAATTTTGAAAATGTGACAAGAAATCTTATCGCTTAAACTTTCGCGAAAAAAAAGAATTGCCCTGAATCCGTGAATCTACAGAAAATGAGTGAAACGTGAAGCTCGATAATGTGTCACACCCTGTACGTAGCTGCGTAAACTCCGCCGACGCAGGTGGTGTATCGGTCGAAGGACGTAGCCGGAAGAAACGACGTACAGATTATTTGAACAAGGGATTATTCGACGATGAACAAACGCTCCCGCGAGACGGTACCCGTATATACGTTTTAGCAATTCAGGATTAAAACTCAATCTCTTTTGGTATCAGCACAGTAGCGCGCGGGCGAAATGAGAAACAGGTTCGAATATTAAATATCGCACGCCATTGTCCCTCTTTAAAGAAAGAAAAAAAAGGATCATTCAAGGCTTCCCACATTTCAAATATTGACTGTGTAAAAAGAACGGAATAAAAAAGAAGCGTGACAGAATCCAAGGTCTTTGTAAGTACTAGAAACGAGCACTCTTTAAATTAGGTACGTCGTAACAGGCTCGCGACCGTAAAACGTAACGGCTCCGTAACAGTTCTCCATCCTTCCCCCCTGTTACGAATTATCAATTTTCAACTTAATAACGCGGAAGAGAAGTAGCGTGAGGGGGAACCTCTGGAAAAGCTTTCAGAGTTCTATTAAGCGGTCCGATTGCACTGAAAAGTGAAGGCGAACGACTTAAGCAATAAACGGCACGTGCATGCCAAGTTGTGATCAACAGCGCGAAAAACGATTTTATGAATATATACTAGCAATAAAAATATTGCTTTCAGAAATAAGTGCGCCTTTCTCCGTTCAACGATTTCGAAACTTCGCAAAAAGAAAAAATTGCAAGAAATGCTAAATAACATCGAGCTTTTCATATTCTTAAATAATGAAATAAAATAAATTACAATATAATTAAAAATAATATCAATAACGAGAGAAAATTATTGACAAAAGATCATATGATTTTTCGATATTTGTTTCCTTTCGTTAATTCTTAATATTATTAAAAAGATATAAATATACGATTATCAAATCTTTCTCCGTTCAGCGATTTGAAAACTTCGCAAAAAGGGAAAAGTGCAAAAAATACTAAATACGAGCTTTTCATACTCTTAAATAATGTGTAATGAAATAAAATAAATTACAATATAATTAAAAAATAATATCAGTATTATATATACAACAAGAGAAAATTATTGACAAAAGATCGTATGATTTTCCGATTTGTTTCCTTTCGTTAATTCTCAATATTATTAAAAAGATATAAATATACGGTTACCAAACAAAGGGGAATTCAATTTAATGTTCCAACAATG